AGGTAGAACAATTTTTAACTCTCAAGTCATTTCTGTTAGCTCTCGTTGTACCGGCTAAAACATAAACAAATATATAAATAACGAGGAAAATGTCATTCATAGGATACCGATGACCCACGAAAAGAACAGTGTCATGAAAATATTTTGGCCGCCTTTTAGTTGCTCCATTGCTCGCACATGCGCAGACGTTTGACCGCTGTGTTGCTCTGATCATTGAACCCAACCCCTGAACTTTATAATAACACAACGACATATTTTTTTCTTGCAGCTCATTTTTTTATTTATTTACAATTTGTTAAGTCCTTTTTCTTTAAATATTTACAACAAGCTGGGATGGCAAGCCTTGCCATGATTCTTGATCTAACGTCAGATTCGTATGTCAACAAACAAATCTTCCCTATCAACATAAATACATATAATTGTAAACAAGAATTTGACCTGAAGATATTTTTTGGCAAGATCAACGTGCGCAAAAACTGCAAGGAACTAGTAGAATTTGCACACATGCATGTTTCAACTAAACTCTCTAGTTCTGTCCAATCACCATAGAGTAATTATTCTATGACTATACTCAAGAAAGTACGAGTGATTTGTAATTTCAGTGAGTCATACAAAGGACCTGTTTCGCGACCATAGCAATTCAACAAATTTTCCTTTTCAGACGATCAGCCCAAGCAATCAGATGCTTCTCTTGGCTATGGGGCGCTTCATCAGTACATCCACCTTTGCGTTAAGACGATGTAAGAAAGCCGTTTCCGTTAACTGATCGAAATTAGGGAACTTCGGAAAACCGCGACGACCACGGCAACGAGAACGCCACAAGACAAAAGGTTTACTAGTAATGAGCAAAACAATAGCTCTGCACGTGAGTTATAAATCTTTGTACATTTCTTTGCCGTCCTCTGCAAATCAAGAACGTGAAATGAGTAAGTTTTGCGTAGTCTGAACAATGCGAACGACGACGGGTAACTTTTCGTATTTCCATTTAAGAAGTGAACGCTGTCATTGCATATTTAGCCTAAGCACGTTTTTAGAGCCATCGACTTACTAAACAGATCTACAAATGTAGACATGTACAATTGCGAATTTCGCTGGTAAAATATAAATTCATTTTTGATTAGGTGTCGCCGTCGTCGTTGCTTGAGCTCCCTGTTATCTGGTTCAGTACACGATGAAATTCCTCCTTGTAGTAATTTAAAGAAAGATACTGGGAATATTAAGGAGATTTTCTTCATTGACACCGGCGTTTGAAACGCTTAACAAATAAGAAAATGTTTACTCAAAATGAAAGGAAATAAATATCGGGTACTATTTGGCAAGTACAACGAATAAAAGTAATTAATAAAACTCTTAGTTAACAGAATGAGTTTTTAATACCACCCACAACACAATGTTTACGTTGATGGTCGTTGATTTATCCAATTTAGGCACAATATTCCAACATTGTTTTGTGCGTATGAGACAGGGAATGGAGAAAGTTGAATAACGACTGTATTCTTCGAGAGAATTTGTCACGTCAGGTGCCCCAACGACCTTGGGTCCAATTAAAGATTCTCTTTACAGTAACTTAATTAAATAAACTATAAACTAGATTTCAACCAACCCGGCAAGGCTGTCAGTCGCTATCACTCCCGGACTCGCTTAGCTGAAGGTCTTCACCTGCATAGAAGAAAACATAGTGTCCACGAGTCAAAATTTTATTTGTCTTACCTACCCATGAGTTGTCTCTAACTACAATACCGATTCTCTCAAGCGAATTATTCAGAATTTTTCTTTCCCCTTCCTTTTTGCGTTGCGAAGCGAACTAGACTTATTAAGGTCACCGTAGTTGAGAGAAATGACGTAACACTTGTGGCCTGTAGCTAGAACCACCCCTTTGAAATCGATTTATACATATACTCATACAGAGGGAGAGGTAAAGAGAGACGTGAGCTGCGATCTGCGACTGCTCACTTGTGCTGCGTTCTTCTTTGCTTTCTTTACAACGGATTTTCGAGCAAATAAGAGACTGCTCGCAGTCTGCAACCTTCGCCGACTCCTTCAATGTTGTACTATCAGAAATATTGCTTGCAACCCCACCATTACATCCACGATGTTAATGGCCTGAGGACGATCTCATAAAGAACCCATTCATGCGAAAGCCGCGTGGGACCCTCCATAGTCAATAAATATGGGTTATTGACCAAGCGTGAGGTCAGGGTAGCTGGATATTCGCCAAGTTCTTTTTTTTTTTTTGCGTGTTTATGGACCGAGACGAACCAGCCTTATTAGATGGCTAACTAACCACACTCGAAAACTTGTCTTCCTCGGCCATGTTCTACAACATGCAAGTTGTCGGCGTTAGGCACTTAAAACTTCTCTTGAGAGTTTGAAGTTGTCTCCCTCAACAACGTTCAAGGAGCGTTGAAGACTTCGTTGAGAAGACTTCAAACTGGCAGGCTCGTACTGTGGTGTCTAATGCCTTCACGATTTTATAAGCATTTGCACAACAGCGAATTCAGTTCTCCCTCGGAACCACAGTTTAGGGCCACAGTTCCCTATTCCCGTTTTCTTGGAAAGAATACCGCTTCCATGCCTTCATGCCATTTTGTGTTTTTACTTAAGCTTGTTGCAAAATAAATTCATGAAACTCGACAACATTTTGTTTGTTTGTTTGTTTTTGTTTTCATTCTCGTTGACAGGTACACGTTCAGTTTCCTCATTTTCCAATTCCATTGATACAGAGACCACAGGAAATCTATAACTGTCACGGAAAATATTTTCACGACACAAATTACGAAAGAAAATTTTGTTGAACGGCCTCCGCAGTCCGACAAAATTTTTCTTGCAGGACACAGCGCGTAATCCCGAGCGGGCAAGATAGCTCCATCTGGCCTGCTCGGGTAGCCAATCACAGCACAGGATTCGGTTCACCTTGCTCGCTCACGGAGTTAATAATAATATGACTAATCAACCTTTGACCAATTGCGCCATCGGTTGGAAAACGTCCACGCATTGCCTATCAAAACAGTACTGAGCTCAAGTTTGCAAAACACGCAGTTCAAATCGACTACTGATACTTCATATCTACTACAGAGGTGGAGCTTTTAAACACGCTTTTCAAACCAGAATAATAAAATTCTTATTATGATACTGTCAGGGAATCCCTAAGTCGCAAAATCTGGTTTTGAATACCATTATTATTTATAATAAAGCAATAACATCGATCTATAAATTTGGCCATCTGTTCGAGTGGAAAAACTATGAAACAAAATCGCATTGGCACAGCCCTAACTTCCGTTTATCGTATTAGCGTGATCGCCAATAAAACGATGACCCTAACATGACTCCATAATTGAGCTTAGTTTCAAATCTGTCCAAGGTAACAAACTGATGTCAAATCTTTGAATGCTTGCTTTATGAGGGGCGCTTACCATTCGACCAAAAATTCCGAAATTTCCGAAACGGGGTCAAATGGTAAGGAAATTTCAAATGTACAAAGATTTATAACGCGTGCAGAACCATTGTACGACTCATTAAACCCTTTGTTTTGCGACTTTTTCGCTGCCGTTGTGGTTTGTATAAGGTCCCTGCCGTGGTCTATAAAAAGTCGCGACGTCGACATATCAGTGTTCTGTTTGCTTCTATATTTGCGATTTAAACCTCGAAGTCATTGAAATATTCCAAGCGAACAAAACTGTGCCGCTTGTCGTTTTCCACACTGGAAAAGTCTGTACCTTTCGCCCATGGAAATTTCCGGAAATTCACACCGGAATTTTTGGTCGAATGGAAGCGCCCGAGTACACTGTAACCAATCTGGTGACCAATGAGATTCTGTTACGTAAAATTCACGTGACCAAACTCTTAAAACAAGCCCTGCACAACGAAACCTTATCAAATGTAGGAACTTACTGTGTAACGACAAATGTGTTTCCCGGATAAATTAAGCATCTAATACGCACAGAAGCAGGAATACATGGACGTTATTTGTCTGGCCAAGTTCTGCACGGTCGAACAATATTTCAAAGATCTTTCACGCCTGGTTTCAACAACAGCAAGATCAATTATTTGATATGTCTGCTCAGCCTAGACGGGGGCGCCACGAAGAAATTCATCGATATGGATTCCAGAGATACAACGCTGGCAACATGAACACTACAGGAACACGTGCTGTTGACTCAAAACAAGCACGCTCGCGGCGGCCATTTTTTCAAGAATCCGAAAGACAAAGAACACGTAGAAGAACACGAAGGCACCTTCTAACGCATCCCAGCGAAGCCTGGGGTGTTGAGGTTCTTTACACCAACGACGTCTTCGAGGCAGAAAACTGGCTGAGGGAGCATATCACAGCTTGCTCTGCCAGGGTTGTCGGCTTTGATATCGAGTGGAGGCCACAGTTCGTAAGCAAAAGAGATGGCGGCACCGAAAACCAAACGGCCGTACTACAATTAGGAGTCGAGGCATCTTGTTTAGTTTTACATATTTTCCATATGAACGAGTTGCCAAGGTTGCTCATTTCAATTCTAGGAGATGAAAATATCTTAAAAGTTGGTGTGGGCATCGAGGAAGACGCCTCAAAACTAAGAAGGCATAGAGGTTTGGTCTGCGAAGGAATGACTGACATTCAAAAGATGGTTCAGACTACAGAGCGCGGGCAGCAATTTGGACTGAAAGCACTAGCACAACGCTTTCTTGGTATCGAACTCGAAAAATCCAAGAGGATAACCATGAGCAACTGGGAAAACTTCCCTCTAACGTTAAGACAGATTGAATACGCTGCTCTAGATGCTTGGGCTGGAGTGAAAACTTACCACGCCATTGTTCAATTTCAACAAGGCACATCGTCACAGTCTCCTGCTGTGTCCTATATACATGTATTGGCTTATACGCTTCTCATTTTGTTTTTCCTTTTTGTTTTCTCAGCGCTTAATATCACGTAAAAAGTTGGAATGAATCCCATTGCAGCTCAATCTGATAACAATTTCTGCCTGCGGGCATTGGCCGTTTACCCCCTCCCTTCTAGAGGGATGGATGATGAATGGAGCCCTTTATTTAAATACGGCATTTTATCAATTAAAATAAGTGGGTACTCCTTATATGGGCTGTATACACTGTAGGGAGGCAGGGAAAGATAAATTTTGACTGAATTTTGGCCAGTTAAACAGAAAATATTTCCGCCTACTTTGCTTGTTGAGGGCAAAGTCAATCAAAATATTCCAGAAGATTACCTGATTACCTATCAGTCATAATCTTATTATTTCCTTGTTTTACTTGGTACCATGCAGTTACATGCGCTAGCCTGTATCACAGACGGAAATTTACCTGTAAATAACCCGCGATAGGTAGTGTAAACATGGTGATGAAACCAGAACTTACATGTAGAATACATGTGATTGTACTTTTAGATACTAAGTAGTAAAACTAGATAGAACGCTAGATAGTTCTGGAAGAGTGCTTATACTTACAGAGTGTGTTGAAACCTTCTTTCTTGGTCAAAATATCTTTTTGATCCATCTATTGAAAACAATAACAAGTGGTTATGAGAAAAATGAAATTTTCAGGTCTGAGACAAACAGTTCCCCCGCCCCTTCCTGCACCACCATGACACCCACACACACAAATAGATGGGATGCTCAACTCTGGCCCGTCCCATAAATTAACTACATGTACACTGTAGTCCCTAACCATTTCTACACTGTGAAGGTGAATTAATCAACATGACACAAGCGTGGGACAAAGAAAAAGTTCTGAGTCCCCGACAGGAATCGAACCCATGACCTCCCAAACACCGGGTGGGCGCTCTATCCACTGAGCTA